AGTACTGCAGTTGAAGTGAGAACAGGAAACTGACACTCTGTTACAGGCCTGTACTGTTGTGATGCTGATGCTACGTTCCACAAAGTGGCCGACAGTTGGCCAACATCTGGCTGATGCTTGCTTCATATTGTCGGGCAGCAGCTGTGTGATATGTAGATCAAACACAGGTCTAAACTGATGGGATTAGCTCGGAAAATTCCCACACACACTGACACGTAGCAAGAAAGGAGGCGTCAGTTCACACCTCCCAAACATTCACAGTGCAGTTCTTTCGCACAAACGCACACACTACCTTCCATTCATTATCTACTGCACACTTTTGCTCGCTTCAGATTTAACCGTAACATTCCAGAAGACTCGAATAACTCAAGATTTCGAGATAACCGTAGCTAAATATCTTCATCATACCAACATTATTGTAATTTCTACAGGCCACAAATTAAAGAATCTATTTCCTGTTCTCATTTTTCACAATTAGAAATCTCTACAGACTTATTGTCTAGCAAACGATTTTTGAGGATAATCATAATATCATAATCATTAACATTAATGTCCTTAAAACAAAAGCAAATTTATTAGATAGTTCAATGGATTATAGACAAGAGAGAATTTATGATTATGATGCATTGGCAGGCCTTACAGAATAACGGCTGTCTGACAGTGATGTAAAACTGCTGATGTATCTAGTGCTCTGATTGATGGGCACAGCGTTAGAAGAGACACAAAACTAAGCATCCGACTCGGAGTCTGGCGGTCTGAGGACAAGATCCGCCCACTGGCTGAAATGGTTTTGTACATTGTCTTCTCATTTGAGGTATATGGTATGGGAACTTGTCCTTGATTAGCTTTTGAACTGTTCTGTGTTCCCTGAAGCCCTCGGGCAGAGTCCCAAGTCACAGCGACTGAAATCAAGATACGATCTTCACTGTTTGTTAACAAGATGTGCAGGAAGAGCACAGGTTTGGTGACACTTTACATTCGATTATATTTATGGAGAATGTAATGTAAATGTAATTCATTACAAAAGTATATTTCAGTGTTTACAAGCAACTCCACAAAATAATGGAACATTAAGAAGGCTACACATTGTTTGTTGGTATTAATTTCTTACAGTTAAGCTCATATTTTACATATTGTTCTTTATTCAGATGTTTATATTAAAATGGGGTAGCCTTTTTTTTGGCCCTGAAGTAGCTGCATAACAGATAGTTATATAGACAGAATAATAATTTATTAATTTAGTGTAATTATCATGCTAAAGAGTTTATACACAATTGATTTTTAATGTTGTGTTGTGTTAATTCTTCATGCATCAATAACTTTTTTGTATGTTTGTTTTGCAGATTTTTATGGCAAAGTTGTAAATATGGATCACAACATCATATAGCCATTGCAAACATTCAAAGCATGCTGGGAAACTTGCAGTACTTAGAGGATTTTTGTCAAGAAATGTGGACAGCTTCACTGTTCGGGACAAACCAGAGACTCACACAAGGATGCAACACTGGATATAGAGAACCAATGGTATGTAAACTTTTGAATAGTATAATTTGTGTAAATACAGTTATTGGTTTGTCTTGTTTATATGTAAATATCTATTATGTTTCATCTGGAGAAGTGCTAAACGAAATATTGTCATTAACTGATCTATAACTGACATAACATTTTATGAAACAGGAACAGTCAGGATAAAAACCAACAATCATGGATTGCATAAAAGTGGACATTTGTTACCAAAATGCGGCATCTTTATATTTCACACAAATGAACTCCATCCAGCTTTGACATTAAGAAAAAAGGTTATTATCGGTCAAAATAAATTGCAAAAGTGTCCCCCATATATGTTTTCCCAGTGAGGCCAGGCAGGGGAACGAAAGTAAGATCTCTTGTGGTAAAAACACACGCAAGCCGCAAGTCCTTTGATAATTCTGCAGGTAGCCATAGAAACTTCTCATTAAAAGAAGCAGTTAAAGAGGTGTTATAAGTAAACAGCGTGACAGGCAGGCCTAATGCAGAAAATTAGTTAGATAATCTTTGGAAACTCTTCTCTTGTATTACTATGATATCGTGGGAAAGCTCCTCTCAGGGAGAAAGAGATAGAGGGAGAACAGTCACGACACCGGCGAGCTGCTGGCGCTCTCCATGGTTCTGAAGATAAGAGTGGGTGTATAGCCTGCCTGTTTCAGTTGGGTTTTATATCCTCCAGAGACTTAGCAATTCATTTTTGTTCACTGTAGTGGACATAAGTTGTTTGTTAATATCGCTAAAACCACATATACCACAGTTTGAAGTGTTTCATATATATCACGGGTGGCGAACGTCGGTCCTGGAGAGCCGCAGCCCTGCAGAGTTTTGCTTCAACCCTAATCAAACACACTTGAACAAGCTAATCATGGTCTGAACGGTTACTAGGAAGCTACAGGCAGGTGAGTTTTAATTAGGGTTGGAGCTGAACTCTGCAAGGCTGCGGCTCTCCAGGACCGGAGTTCGCCACCCCTGATATATATCGTAAAGAGGACATCTTGGGCTTTTCTTTCATATTCAATATGCTAATGACGATGATATAACAAACAGCAGGAATTAATAACAGCAATTAATAAACTGCAACTAACAAGAAAATAAACTGCCTTGTATGAGCCTGGGAAGTCTCACATGGGTCACATGGTTATGTGATTAGTGGTCCTGTATTGGCTTTCTATGAGTCCTGCCTCCCACATGTCAAAACAAATTCGCTTGCGTTTCTGCCTGAAGCCTATGAGATGTATTGTGCAATGGCACGGGGCACACAGAACGAAAATGGTTAATGCGGAAAGATCAAAGACGCGGAAACATCACAGGACAGATTTAATCACGCGCCTTCCCCCAGGTTGAATTTTTTAAAGTTTCTTAAACAATGTACGGAGTTCTGTTTCGATGTTGAATACTTCTTGTTTTTGCCTTTTCATGTGTCGTGGTCAGGGATGTGTCTGTCTAAAGAAATTATGACATTGTGGCTCACTTGGCCTAAATATCTCACATACAATGCTAATTAGAATTCATGCCAGGAAAAGGCAGACTCCTGCAAAGCAGGCAGAAAGTCTGTTTGGATCGGCTCTTCCATGATTGATTAATCTCTTGTCTTTTTCACAAAGTCAGCAATTACACCTCAGAGTAATTGTTGCGTGCCTGTGATTGTGGGCCAGACTCTCGCAAGAGTGCACATCTGTCGGCCATGCTTAAATCCAGGACAGTGGCCTTAGAATGAAACAGGTGTTTTACCCATAGATGGACTAAAGAGAGGATCTCTTACTGTAAGATAAACCATCCTTTGGGCATTCATCATAGCTTTGGAAATAAAGTGCTTCACATGGTAGGCCAGCGGCGACTTTTCCCTGATGCAAACCGCATACTTTTATTGCATTGCCAGACTTACATAAACAATGCCATAAAAGTGTTGTTTATTCAGGCAGTGTGTTATGTATATGGGGCAATGGTATTTGTGACAATGCCCCACAATACAAAATAAAGCCACACTTAAAACCAAATCTCCCTGTAAGCCTACATAGACTAGCAGGCTGTTATCCGTTTAAGGGGATTTCAGTTTGACTTTTTTTTCAGTGCTATGTAGGTGATGTCTGTGAGAAGTGGAATAGTCCCCATTTTAGGATTATAAACAACATAAAATCATCCTGAATGTATCTGAATAACATAACTGAGATTTTTTTATTTTTGTTGTTAAGCCAGATGTAGGAATGTCTATTTGCTTTTGAGCAATGTAGAATGCCACTTTTCGGAGGCCAAATTGATCAGCATTTGAGTTTTAGTTATGCAAGAGTGCTGGGAATTGCTGTATATGAGCCACATAGTGGACATCATGACACTGTTTGCCTCGAGCAATGCAGAGTTCAACATTGATGTATGTAAGTACTTTACTCCCTGACTTCTGAATAATCATTAGGGTTACGTCAGAAACTGAAATCAGAGCTGCCGTAAAAGCAAAAATCTGCCATATCCTGTACAATGCCATTCTCTGTAGTACCAAGTAATCCCTAAGGGGCTGACTGAGGGGTAAAACATGACAAGACATGTTATTGAATCAAAGATTAATGTATGTGATGTAACGTTAATAGTTTTGGAATATCACATAAAAGATGCATTCACAGCAAGCCTAGAAATGTCAGTTTATATTTATAACAAAGGTGTGTTTATGATATTGCATACTTTGAGAGTCTCTTCTTCTGCAGTAGAAGCCAACGGAAAATAACTTGCCCTCTTCAAACCTGTCCTCTTTAGTGTGATGGGGGAATTCAGGTCATAATGTGAACAGATGCTTTAGTGTGTGGCAGCTGTAGTGTATTCAGACAGCACTGAGAGCTGATTATGCCACTGTAACCTCTTTGTGGCCCTATTAACCTCTTCCTGTATCATCGAATACCCTTCTCTGGCTCTTTTTTTTTCTTGTCAATATCTGTCTTCTCTTTATGCTTACTGTGGTTGTGATTAAGTGGCCCAGCTTAGTACCAAAGTAAGTAAACACCATTAGCGAGTCAGCCAGCCAATCAGAGTGGCGAGCACTGAGTCTCCAGTGACATGCTGACCTGCTGCCAGAGTCTGTGTGCGTTTCCACAGCAACATGCTGTAAAAGACACACAGGCAACACTTCCATAATGCAAGGAGATTGAGAGAATGAAACAAAGAGAGAGAGAGGTTATGTGGCTCCAAAAATAGCTACACTGTTGATGAGTACAAGCCTCATTCACCAGAACTGGCACTTTATTTAACTTGAAATAGCCAAATGTATGGCAGGCAAAGTTGTGTTTGTGACATAAAAATATATTTGTAAATATGTTTTTAATTTGCAAATCTCATTTATTTATTTGTGAATTTAATTAATGTTTGTGAAACTCTTATTTAAAAACTTTTATTTATTTGCCAGTATGGGGTCCAATATACTTTTGGACCCCAGTGACTTTCTTCTGCAGGTCTGAAATGAAATGTTACCTTCCTATCATTCATTAATATCACACCTTTATTAGCAAAGACACTAAGGGTGATGAAATGGGAGATTTAAATTACAAAAAGGTACAGCGGTGAGGGTTCAGCTCAGGTGACTTTGGACAAGTAGGCATTTATGTTCTAGGACTGATTCTTCATGAATATTCACTGACAGAAAAAAATATTTTCTCTAGGCTATTTCACAGGTGTTATGTCAAGTTATGCTACAGCGGTGGTTTTGCTTGTTACGAGTAAATGAGCCTCTTGTTTAAATGTTACTTTCATGGCTAGTGGTCTTTGTCAGTTATCTGGCCTTCGCATCATCTTGCCAGAGTCAAGTTATTTGCCAGGAGTTCTTGTCTTCTGCTTTGGTAATCTTAGTTTGTACTGTCTCCAGAACAGTACACCGGAAACCTTGTTACAGCCCAAATAAGGTGTTCCAGGATTTTGTTGAGGGCTTTTGCAAGACCTGTAGGTTAACTGGAATCTGTCATTCTCTCTCTCTCTCTCTCTCTGCCTCTGTAGATGTCCAACTGGCCTTAATTTGAGCCTCCAAATTTATCTCCTCAGCAGCTTGTGGAGGATGGAGGAAATAGCTTGTCCAAATGATGAGGATTAGAGGAAGAATAAATTCTAAGTCAAAAGTGATGAATGGTGCAAAAATGGAAATCACAAGGTATTCTAGAAATCTCTCTGGCCTGTAAGAGTGTGTTTGTGTTAGCCATTAAAGTGAAGTTTAAATTTACTTACTTTCATGTCATTCCAAACTTGTATGATTTGATTTCTTCTGTAGAGCACACAAGTAAATACTTTGGAGAACACTGGTTCCACAGAAGAAATATAGTCATATGTGTTTGTAATGACAATAGGGTGGGTAAATGATGACAGAATTTTCGGTTTGGGGTGAACTCTGCAAGTGTCTTATTGCAGCGATGTCAGTATTTTGTGGTGTCATTCAGTTGGAAGACTTTTTTTTTTACAGACTTTAGCTCTTTACAAAAAATTATTGTATTAGACTCTTACCTCCATCAGAGTATGTCTCTGTTCCATATCCATCCTGTAGACCGTTGTTCCATGTACCCTCGTATTTGCCGCTGGTTCCTGTGCTTTCCCGCACACCATAGCGTCCCTTAAATCCATGTGTCCACTCACCTTTATAAACCCACTTGCCCTTGTTTTCAACTCCAATGCCATGGCGCTTACCTTGCGCCCATGTCCCCTGATAGGTGTTCCCACTGGGCCAGGTATAGATGCCCACCACCTCAAAGCCGTGGCTCCAGGAGCCTGCGTACTCGCCTTGGCCCTTGGGTCCTGTGCAGATACCATGGCCGTGGGCCTTTCCCTCTTCCCACCCTCCACAGTATGATCCCCCATCATCAAAGTTGAACCTGCCCCCAGTGGACATGCATGAAATAGGTTTTGGCAAATATCCCAAATCTCAAAAAGAAAATAAAAAGAAAAGGAAGTAAAACCCAAACAAAATCAGACTTGGAAATGGGGCCAGGGTGTTGTTGGAAAGCCGGGGAAGGAAAAGACCCGTATATGCTCCCTTTAATTGCCTTAAAAAAATGCAAAAAGTTGAAAGAAAAAAAGTGGAGCCCTCCTGGGCAGTAGTCCCCTCCTGTCGAACTAGGCAGGAGCAGCCTGAGCCCTCTCAGACCATCCTCCTCCAGGAGTGAAACTTTTTATTCACGAGCTGCTTTCCTGCAGTTTCTTCTCAGTGATGAAAGTGGGCCCACGCCAGCCATGCGCCTTGTTCTGTCATTACCAACGCAGCAACTATTCTCTCGGTTCTGGTGCTCTGGCCCCCTCCTCGTTCCTGCCTCCACAGAGGCCCCTGTGCCAACACACCTACCCTCACTCCCGCTCTCCTTCTCTGGGTTTCACTTCCACTCCCAGTCGCTGAGACCACCAGGCTCCACCTAGAAACCTGTGAGTCCTCAGAGTGATGGCCGATGGATGAAGCAGGCAGGTGGCATTTACAATTGCATCCTTTCTGCCAGGAGCTCACTAACTGTTGTACCAAATCCACCCGACATGCTGATGCCACACAGGGAGACAGAGTGCAAGAGAAACAAGAAAAAAGAGCGATAAATTCTGCAAGCTTCAGTCTCCGTCAGCTAGCAGCAATGCAGTCTCTATCCGTGCACAATCGCATACATATATACGCACGCTCTCGCCAGCACAGGTTGAGCGCACAGCTTGATCGCAAACAAACTGATGTGATTAATTCCTTATCTGGGCACTGTTTTGTCGTTGTCTCTGCTTTCCTCTCAGCTCTCTTTTCAGGTCTGTATAAAAATCCTGTGCTCCGGGTTGCTTGCAGGTGGGAAAACCAGATTCATTGTCCCTGATTTACCTTCTTCTGTTCCTCCTTGACTCAATCACGTTGTTGGAATGATTTTCATGTGACGCTGATGGTCTTTTTCTTCGTCGTCATCTTATTCCCCCATATGCTTGGATGTCTCTCTCTCTCTCTCTTACACTGGTGTCTCTCAAATCTGCTCATTAGAGGCTGACTGTTCCAATGCAGCCAGCTCCCCCTCCCCCTTTCACATGCTCCCTCTCTCCCTGGCTCTCCCGTCATTTAAAGAGACATGTGCTGCGTTAATGCTCATCACTCTCTCTCTCTCTATCCACTTCAGGGAGCAAAGATTGCTTTTCCTAATTGCCCAGCTTAGTCCTCCCCCTACCCCCCTGCTAAATCTCCACTGCTCTGCCCTCATAGAATAATTAGAGCATTTGTCAGTTAATGATATGGCTTGAGATGGTGCATTAAATTAATTTGTTGCAGGTGAGATAATATAAAATCTGTTCTGTTGACCTTGGCACTTGATCATCTTGACTGTTCTTCACTAGATTCCATGATATCTGTACGCCACAAAGAGCATCTTTTACTGTGATGACTCATATGATTCATGGCCAAAGTATGTTATAATTGAAGACATATTACTTCATACAACACTGTTACAGATAGCTGAGAACATCATGCAGTTGTTCACGGCTTGGTTTATAATGGCTTGTACAGTGTTTGTCCTCCTTCCTTCTTAAACATTTTCCTTAGAAGTATCTGGTAATTAAGAAAGCACATTAGAATGCATGAGGATACATGAAGACTTTAAAATACAGTATATATATATATATATATATATATATATATATATATATGAAAACAAGGGATTTGATGTATACATGTAACCGTGCCATTAGTTTTGACTTGCAATTGTGTGTAACATTCTGTTTGTAAAGAGGAGGAAGGATATTTATCCTCTCAATTACTGGGGATCAGCTCTGACGAAGCTGGGTAAAAATACTCTGACTGCTGTTGCTTGGGCTCAGCAGGTAGTGAGAACCAAGGTTTCATGCAGTAAACAGGTCACCTACAGTTTGACTCCAAGTAGATTTCATGTGACTCTTGTATATTTCATGTATATTACACTACATACTTGTGTTTGATTGAGCAAGGTTAACAAATTTTTGCAGGTTTTTGGTGGTTTAGCTTATCAGGCTACTTTAGTGATAGCCTGCTGTTGGCTTGATTGGCATTACAGAAGGAGGGGGAGATTTTATAAAGTGGGTTCAGTAGACAGAGTGTGGGAGAGTGTATAAGAGAGATTGCAAGGGAATGCGTGAGGCACAACGTATAATTTCAGAATGTCAGTTTTTGCAAGGTTGTTCTTATTTACAACCACACTTTCTTGAAAAAAATTACAAGATACAATTTGACAATCAGACATCAAAAGTCAAACTATATTAATAACATTGCCTTGTTAACCATTAAAATAGCACATTTTTAACTAAAAACACACATACATATGAATTATAATTCATTATCTGTAATTGTATGGGCTGATCCTGTTCTGATAGCTACATAAAATTGTTAAAGGGCAGCAGATGACATTATGATAATGTAATTGTGTATTTTCTGCTCTACCATGTAGAGTTTGATGCACACACACTATGGCTGTGGCTGGTTGAGGCCTGAGGAGCCTTTCCATGAGTTTGAGCCCAGAGACGCAACATCACTCAGACTTGTTAGTAAAACAGGCCGTGATGACTCACGCTCCCCTGCAGCACAACTGAAATAATAAAGGCTGTTATTGAAAATTTGGAGAGTTATTAAATTAGCTTTTCTTAACTGTTTAACCACAGGGAAGCAATAGCAGAAAGAGGGACATTTGCTAACTCAGGATTTTAGGTTTGAATTAGGGATGAGCATGTTAAATCATCTCAAACACTTGAGTACATAGGGCAAAGATTTGAATGTGAATTGTTGGTGAAAGTGAATCTACATAAGCATAAGACAAACGTTTTTGGCATCCCACTCGCTAGCTAACTCAAAAGATAAAAACACTCAGAAAGTATGTCTCCTTGCTTTTCCTGTTGATTACCGTATTATCTTAATAAGTATGAACCACCATTTTTGTTGTGGCTAGCTTGACCTTGTGTAGTTTTGGTGTCTGATGAATTGGTCCAAAGGTGCCACTGAAAATTTTACTATAACACATTAAATGACAAATTACACTCCTATAGGTTATATGTCGAACGTCACCTGACCAAACCCGGAAAACAGGTCTCATTGCTTCCACTTGTCGGAGAATGTGCTAACAGCTGTAATAAATAATAGCGATATCTATGGACTTTTAAGATAATCAGTTAAACTAGCTAGCTGTTTTTATTGTTGACGTTTTATTCAATTTTTACTTTGAAGGCATCTTGAGTAAAATTGCTTCATATTTAATGAAGCATATGCAAAATGCTTGAACCGGAAGCGACGAGACCCGGTTAACAGAATACGGAAGTCTGTTGCGCATAATCCCTATTTGACATGTTTTGAATTCAGTATAAGTCACATCATGCATTTCATGACCAATCATTGCTGGTAATTGTAAATACGTATGTACTCGCACTGACTAGTCCAACTGGTTTGCACCCAGCCAGTTGGACTAGTACTGGATTAATATATTTCTAAAGCTTTAAATCTGAACACCCGCCACTTTTGCTTGTGCATCAAATTGTTTATAAATTTAATTCGCAAGGCACAGTGAGAGCCAGTTGCTCCCTCTAGTGTTCATTTATGATCAGCAACAGTTTAATTTGCCAGCACTGTACATTTATTAGGGTATAGTTGTGTTTACTCATCTTACAGTAGGGGCTTTTCATATTTTCTGTCAGTGCTTCTTAAATAGGTGTTGTGAACTAAAAATAAAGTTTTTATACGTCATTTATTAATCTGTTAATGTTCATTTATAAATATACTATTATTCATTGTAAAAAATGTTTATATTGTAATACAATTTATAGAACTTGAAATGTTAAAATTAATCAGTGTATGTAGAAATTAACATGTACCTAGCTTAACAATAAATACTGTAAAAGTATTGTTAATTTGGTTTATAATATCTAATAAACAAGGACATAAACGCTGGAAACGAGGAATATTTATCTGCAATCCATTGAAAACTAGTCTAAAATGCATCATATCGTTTGCCAGCGATTAAGATCTTTAAGATCAACAGCTGCATGTTCAATTTGTAAACGACCTCGCTAATGGTATTTTCCAGACAAACAGGACTAAGAGAAAAGTATTTGAGAAAATATGAATCCGTTAGATTTGGTGAGAATATAAGACTTGGTTCCTGATTGAGCCCTGGGACAATTGGCGCCATCTTTGGGAAAAGTTGACGTAATTAAATGACAAAACCAGAGGTTTCCAATATTTGCCTACAGCCAAAGGCATACTTCAAAAGCGTTTTTTCCCTGTACTATCATCACCAGAGTAATAATTCATACTATTTTATAACATTTAAATAAATTTACCTTATGTTTAAAAATCAGTTACGGATTGTTCAGATAAGTTAATGTACCCTATCGCATTAAATCGTACAATATTTTACTGGCCACATCAAATATGACTGCAGGCGCTTGAGAGATACACAAGAATGTCGCTCTGGCCAATCACAGCGCAGAATATGATTACTGACAAGCTGTTCATTCAATAAAATTCAACCGTGGGCGGGGTTTGCGTGAAGTTCGGGAATGGATAGTGAACTACACTCAGTTCGTCTTACTCGACTTCACTCTTGGTTCCTGATTGAGCCCTGGGACAATTGGCGCCATCTTTGGGAAAAGTTGACGTAATTAAATGACAAAACCAGAGGTTTCCAATATTTGCCTACAGCCAAAGGCATACTTCAAAAGCGTTTTTTCCCTGTACTATCATCACCAGAGTAATAATTCATACTATTTTATAACATTTAAATAAATTTACCTTATGTTTAAAAATCAGTTACGGATTGTTCAGATAAGTTAATGTACCCTATCGCATTAAATCGTACAATATTTTACTGGCCACATCCAATATGACTGCAGGCGCTTGAGAGATACACAAGAATGTCGCTCTGGCCAATCACAGCGCAGAATATGATTACTGACAAGCTGTTCATTCAATAAAATTCAACCGTGGGCGGGGTTTGCGTGAAGTTCGGGAATGGATAGTGAACTACACTCAGTTCGTCTTACTCGACTTCACGACAGGATAATGATAGGCAACGAAACCGTTGATTAATTCACTCGCGTGAATGCAAATAAAGCAGCGGATAAAGTGTCACGTTTTTTTAAACATAAAAAACGTTACTTCGGCGTCCGACAAAGGAATATACGGTTATACTGACGTCCACACGACCACTCAAACTGTTACAATTGTGGAGTTTTCCACACAAAATGTTTATTGCCCGACGACGGTTCCTTTGAGCGTGTACAGCAATTGCGATAGTATCATCTGGACAAATCGGTATAATGGATACTATAAGATCTGAAAGAAATGTTCCTGTTTTATAATGTGTCCTGGAGTCTATTGAATAACTGGCTGACGTGGGGATCACGCAGGGGGGCTGGCCGAAAAACGAGAGACACAGGCGGGCAGAGGGGCTGCGCCGCCGCGCGTCTGGGATTACAGTAAACACAAGTTGTTTCTTTAATATCCTAATAGGCTTTGACGAGATAATGCATTTGCAGGCATATAAAACGCGAAGGAAACTATGTAGTATGTCTTCTTGTAGGGGTTCTGAGACGCTCAGACTCGCCACTGCCTATAAGTTCATGGATGTTTACGTCAGTAAATGATTTGGAAGTTTGTAAAGTTTGTAAAGGCCATCAACCATTGCTTTATGAACTGTGTTTTTATTATCTGATGCATTTTATGAGTGCTGGCTAAGATGGTTGAAAACAGATGCTTTGTTCAGAGAGAGGAGGTTTACCGCTGGTTCTCCGTGTTGAGTTCGGCGCAGAGAGCTGAGTTCCTTTGCGGCCTTTTGGACCTCTGCGTTCCCATTGAGCTACGCTTCCTCGGTTCGTGTTTGGAAGACCTAGCCCGAAAAGACTACCACTCTCTGAGGGATGCAGAAATCAAAGCCAACAACCCGGCTGACCTCGCCAACTTGACCAACATCACGGATGAGGTCGTGAGGAGCAAGCTGCTCGTCTCTCTCGCGCTCCTCAGCTCGGACAACCGCGTAGCGGCGGGAGTTTTGTTTCGGACCCTCACCCATATCGACACCATCATTAATAACTACGGACTTCAGCTTAACGATGGCCAGACGGGAGAGCAGTTTTTGCTCCTCTTCACCATGGCTTCGAACCATCCCGCCTTTAGTTTTCATCAAAAGCAGGTGCTGAGGCAAGAGTTGACACAGATCCAGGAGATCCTACAGGTGACAGTTGGTGAGGCGCCGTCGACGTCACACGGGGGCGGGGCCAGCGCTGCTGCGCTCCCAAACGTGAGCGCGACCCCGACCTTCTCTTCCTACATCACAACATCCACCTTCAACTCTTGCCAGGCCGGATGTCCGTGTTGCAAGGTGGGAAGCATTTAAAGTCAGCATGAAATGAAAATGTACCCTATCTGTTTTCTAAATGCCTTTTTATAGATCTTAATGTGAATCATTCATCCATGCATACTTTAAATCACAATAATGTCATAATGTATGTTCCGGTGAGAAGTAAAGCTTCTCGCTGGTGACATATGTAGGACTTCTCCAATAATTTATTCCATGTAAACCCCGCCCCTTGTGTTAATCTGCCTTCTCTTTTGAGTGCAACTCCCATATCTCAAACTCCAATCAACACCAAATCCCTGTGCTACATTGTTTATTTTTGGATATTCTACCCAAGTTCTGAACAAACATTCTTGCAGTAACGTTAATTCAAAGTTATCTAGATGAACGAATGAATCAATTTTTAGATTAACTATCCCTTTAAGGTTGTAAACAGAGTTTGTGAATGTATGCTGAATAATGTTAGTGTGGTTAATTTTGATATAGTCTATAACTCATTTCTTACATGACAGACACAGCATGGACTGTCCCCTTAGATCAACCTGAGGTTAAGTGTCTCAGTTCAGCAATGCTAATGGTTCATAGATCACCGCTTGTGGGGCTTGAACCCACAACCTTTTGCTTACTAGCCTCGATCTTTTAAGCACTAGGCCATACGCCCCAAGATATACAGGTCAGACCTGATTTATTCAACAGTATCTATGGGGAACACCAAGAGTAACGATAATGAACTGGGGTCATCTGGCACAGACAAGCAATTCAGCCATGAAATCTCACACGACTCACAGATAGTGTTTACTATCTTTTTGAATCTGTTCCATACTCTCCTGGGGGTTCAGGAGTGATCTAAATAAATCAATGCCTTTACTATGACATAAGACTCACACTTACACTTGGTTAAACCCAGTGTGTAATGTAATATTGCAAATGTGTAATTATTTAGTATCTCAAAAATGTCAGCTTGGTGAGTCAACAAACATGCTTCTAAAGCACTGACAAAAGCAGCAAGACATTTGTTCTTACAATAATAAAACCCCTTCATTATAGAATATGATATTATTCAGCAGTTCTAGAATAAATAGATGTCAAAATAACATTATATGTGCTGACGTGATGCACACACGGTTCTGAAGAGTATTGCATAGCACAGCTGCTGTGTAATATCTATTTATTTGCTGTTACTTGGTGTCATTCAACCCACTCTACAAAACTATGTATGCCTTTATGACATCTTGTATTTTACGTGTCTTCTTGTTCGTGACATGTCTAAGCAGGAATTAGGAATGGCACAGCAACTTCTGTGTGAGACTGAGATCATGCGGCAAAGAAAGGAACCACACCACTTTTTTTTTGTGGAAACCCTAAAGACCTAGCACAAATCTGTGGGAAATGCACCTTTACTAGCTATCTAAAATACCGGTCAAAAGTTAGGAATAATTAATTTTTTAAAAATGTTTTTGAAAGAAGCCTGTTATGTTCCTCAAGTCTGTATTTATTTGAGCAAAAATACAGTAAAAACTGTAATATTGTGAATATTGAATATATTTTAAATTGCAATTTATTATTGTGCTGGCAAAGCTGAATTTTCAGCAGCCATTACTCCATTCTTCAGTGTCACAAAATCCTTCAGAAATTGGTTAGTGTATTTTATTTGGTAACCATGATTTTGCAGTTACCATAATTAAGCCCTTAACTGATGAAGATCGGCGACGGCCTCAGATTATTGTTGTTTCACTTTAACAGCACGTTAAAACATCACACTCTTACTTGATCTGGGCAAACTGTGAATCAGTTGAAATATTAAAGACTATCTAGCTTCGATATTTGACCACTGTTTTGATAAAACTTTGTTGCAGTGACAGTAATTTATTAATTTATGTCAGGAGTGCAATTTCACAGCATGTTAAAACATCACACTCTTACTTGATCTGAACAAACTGTGCATCATTAGAAAGACCAGCTTCGATATTTGACCACAGTTTTGATAAAACATTGTTGCACTGACAGTAATTTATTAATTTATGTCAGGAGTGCAAAATAATAAATCCGTATATATGTCGTATTTGGAATGGAAATTCACCACGCATTCATATTCAGTCACGTCTTCAGCGGTTTATTTGTGTTCACATAGCTTCACTGAACAGGTCAATAAGGGCTTATAGTCCAATGATGCATATACATGGAGATATATAGATATATTTACACATGTTTACTTCATATTTCTTCAGACAGAATCATCATTTCTATTCATTTTCCACTAATTTAGGTGATTTCATTAGCATTAGCACTTCCCAGCGCTGTATCTGTGTGTTATACTCTTCCGTGGTGGTAGTATGAGGCAGAGAAAGCCGATTTGCTGGTGAAATGTCAATCATATTGTGCATCACATCCCGCCCTGTCTCATCTTGTGATGGACTTCCCGTGCTCTTCCACGTTCATTTCTGACCATAGCAAACCCAGATAAACACTTTTACACTCAAAGAATAAAGATAATAAACACACGATTACGATAGGATATGGTTTGTATGTGATTTTCTTGAGATTTGGGGTATTTTCATAACATTAAAGAATGTGTACATCTGAAATGCTAATTTGTGCAGTGATATAAAAGGCTATAAAAATCATATTTTAACAACAGTAAACGACCAAATTCCACATGTGATCACAAAAGGAAGTTATTATAAACACTCAATGGTGGTTTAGAGTGAGTTTTGAGTAAAAGTGTACTAATAATCTCATAAACTGTTTTATGTAGCTTGATGCTAATGTTAGCTCTAATGCAGCTGCAGAACAGGCGCAGTTCTTCTTCATAATGCATTTTGTCATAATAATTCACGTAAGGTGATAAGAAAATGTTTTGTTGAATTTTTTTAGAAATACTTTTGATAATAGTTGGGTAAATGTATACTGGGATTGAAGCGATATGGCTTGGTAAACCTTGTAATGCTAGAATAAAGGCTATAATGGTTGAATAAAAACTAAAGGAATAATGAGGATTATGTGTAATACCTAGTGGAGGTGTGAAAGGTTCGTCGAGTGAGAACAATAGAATCATGAATGGGGCAGTTTGCCGGGCTTACAGGGGGCCATAAATCAATTTTATTAGCCTTCTCTAAAAACACACATGACATGGTTTTAGAAAATGTTTCATAAAATTAATATTTTTGGAGATTATGTCCTGAAATTTGAAATGAAGCATTAGTAGACTTGTGGCTTTAGCTTCATTGTATTTCTAAAAGCATTTACCACAGCAACATATGCATTTTTATATACGTTAAAAAAAAAAAAAAAATTTTTGCTTTTATGTTTGAGCTTATATATCTCTATTATCATAGCAGTCTGAGTAATTCTGATTCTTGAACAGTAAAAGTGTCAGCTTTGTGAACCTGTTGATTATGTATCTAGTCAGAAAGACTCATGAGCAGCAACCATTTTGGGTATGTCATTTGTGTCTCCATGCCGAAAATGGGGGGTGACAGCAAAGGGGTTAAAATACTTGCGTTGAGGTTATGTGATATCAATTTCTGTAATTACTACTGTAAAGGAGTTGAAACCAAACTTTTATTGGTGATTCCCTGTGTTGTCAGATGTAAATATCTCCTTTGGGGTGTTATCTGTATAGACATGGGCTCATAACATAAGTACGAAACATGTGCTTGATCGGGTGTAGTGGGAAAGTACCCTGTGAAGGCAGAGAAGGCGGTTCTATTTAGTGATTTGTTGGTTTTGGCTTTCATGAACTGAAGCTCAGCACATTTCTCCATGCTTAAATCAGCCCTCTGTGTAACTCTCCTGTGAATCATCAGGAAGCACCGACTGCTCGCTTGTTCAACAGGCCTTTACACTAGCCTAAACATCAATAAAAACACATGCTGTTTTGTCTCAAGCATCTTTTTGTAATGCTTTGATTGTAATCACCAACATTTATTTGAATTAAATTTCACTTATTAAAGATGCCATGACAGCGAAATTGGGCCCATTTTAGCACTTTCTACTTGTAAAGCAATGGAGGCATAAATAGAGTCAGGCTGGCGCCATATTTAAAGTTTTAGAGGAATAAAAACGAGGCTGTGAGGGATGGAAGTACAGTGTGTTCAATGGATTGTATTTTAGTTAAAAGGGGTAGTTCATCCAAAAAAATGAAAATTCTGTCATCATTTACTCTCCCTCAGGTTGTTCCAAAACTGTATGAGTTGCTTTCTGCTGCTGAACACAGAAAAGATACTTTGAAGAATGTTGGTACACAAACAGTTGACGGTAGCCGTTGAATTCCATAGTGTTTTTTTCCATACTATGGAAGTCAATGGCTACCATAAGGCTCTGTTGAAAAAAGAATTGCTTACCTTCATAAAGTATTATTTTATATATACCGTATATATATATATATATATATATATATATATTTATAACCAACTAATTATGTTCTTAAATTCAATGACTATGTTTCAAGATCCAGCCAATTCCTGATGAATAAAATCAAGTTTCTTCCCCATTGACAGTTGTATTTACTCTAAATTACAGTAAATCAGATTGTGAAAGTAAAATGAAAGCCATACCACGTAGACTTTAAACTGACACAAAAACATCAAAAACGGCTATTCAGATAGCACTTTAAAAAAATGAGGCGCTGATTAACTTTTCTCATCCTGCTCTTCTTCGTACCCAGCTGTACTTTTCCAAGGACTTATTTCCTTTGTGTTATAATCCACACTTCAGCTGAGTCTTCAACAGAAGGGCATGTTTTTCAAAGAGAGGAAGAGAGGAATGGAGATTTGGCTGCGTGGTATGTGGATGTGGCAGCGGTGGATTGTACGGCAGTCCTAATTGGCTTCAGAACTGGCTTTTACTAGCTGCTGTGCTTAGCATATGTGGTACCAGCCTCCTCTTGCTCCTACTCTGTTTTAACAAGCTGGAAGATGTAACCTGAGAGCAAAAAGGCGGATGAGCTGAAATATTTGACTATTGAGTCTGCCAATCAGATTGGGTTTTGGGATTGTAATGTGATTATCTGATGAATCAAAGCTAAAAAGTCAAGCATATTTGCATTTATATGTTTTTTTTATTTCTTAGACGTGCTGCTCCGAAGTGATGAAAAATTACATAATTTAAGACACATGTGCATTGAGTTGACTAATTATAAAACAGTCATCTATTACCAGGAAGTCCATGACTCACTTTAATGCAAGTCTGAGACTTGTTTCATTGAACACCAGGATGTTGCCAAACACAGTAACAAAATTGTTCAGCGATACAGGGTGCCTTTTCTTAGTCCAGTTTTTGTTTGTCATGATTTGATTTTTATTTGATTTTTACAGTTGCAACTTTATATCTCTTAATTTTGAATTTACATGTGACACATCCTGAAGTGCCTATACATTTTGTTCAGATGTAGTTTCTTTTAAAAATTCAACAGGCTTGTCGTTATAATTTGAGTATTGAGTTTCTAAATGTCTCTTGATTTCATATTCTGTTCAGCCCATAATTCATGGCACATTGTGCTCAGCACAAACCAGATGTATCCTCATCGTCAGTAATGGCTATTATAGTTATGTAAATACAGACTTAACCAATAGTAATATGGAGTGATGTAAAGAAGCAGGCTGCTGTGCTGTCAGAGTGAATTAAATAAGACTCAGCTGCTCAAGTGTGACAGCTCTGACTGGACAATATATGCTTGTCCATGTTCAGTCTAGACCTTTGTTTGACCTTTGACCTCTTTTTCCAGACCGTGCATCGGGAGGTCACAGGAGGGCAGACAGACGAAGGTTTGGGTCCTGAGATCATGCCGCAGAGTCCATCACTCTTGTGCAAGGAAATGCCACTCAAAGTGCATGTCGGAAAACCCAGCAAAGGTGAGTTCCACAACTGCATGCAATTGGATCCACAAACACACTCTACAATGTTATATGCAAAACAGGGTCAGTCGTCCTACAGCTTGAATGGTTGAGCTTGGTAAAAAATTGACATTCTAATACAGAAGCTGGAACAAGAATACACATGCTGAAATCTTTTAAACTGAAGTTTCATTCATGTGAGACAGCTGGTGGAGGATGTTTTCAGCCCTCTCCTCAGGTCTCTTCCAGCAGAGGAGGATAAATTAATCAGAGCGACACTTAAGCCCTGTTCACACCAAGAACGATAACTATAAAGATAACGATATTAGCGTCCACACCAGTGAAAGATATCATCTGTTTATTCTACGAGCACGCTCGTCTGCTGCTTTAAATTCACGAGCTCGTTATAGCAGGATGGATTCTGATTGGCTGTCAGTTTTTTTATCGTTCATCAGCTGGAGAAAAATCGTTTTGTAAGTGATTCCAACAATATCGTTTTTCTGTGTCTTTATCATTATAGCTGCTATTCTTTAATATTGAGAACGATTTTTAGAACTATATCTTTATCGTTATCTTTATAGTTATCGTCCTTGGTGTGAACGGGCCTTTAGCTCGCAGAAAGAGATTACACTTGCAATGTTATTTTTATGTTTTCAGTTTTCATATTAATTTTAGTTTTACATTTAGCTATGTGCTTTTTTAGTTTTTAGTTTATTTAAATATATTTCTATGTAGCCTTTTCTATTTGTTATTTTTTTTTAGTAATTTTTTACTTTTTTCAATAATTTTGAATTTATTTTAGTTTATTTATTTCGGTGCAATATTTCAAATGATCCCAAAAATGTTTTTTTAATTATTTATTTATATTTGATATCAGCCTAATTTAAATTACCAAAAATTATTTATAATACTTTTAGTTTTAGTTAAAAATAACGTCATTTTAGTTTTTAGTTTATTTAAATATATTTCTATGTAGCCTTTTCTATTTGTTATTTTTTTTAGTAATTTTTTACTTTTTTCAATAATTTTGAATTTATTTTAGTTTATTTATTTTGGTGCAATATTTCAAATGATCCCAAAAATGTTTTTTTTAATTATTTATTTATATTTGATATCAGCCTAATTTAAATTACCAAAAATTATTTATAATACTTTTAGTTTTAGTTAAAAATAACGTCGCGTATAGGGGTTTCGTCACTATTTTAGTGTTTAGCATATACAATTACAGAATGTGGGAAGATGATGGGGAAAAACGCATTAAATATTACATTTTGCCTGGCTGACAAACATTTTCAATGCAACAAAAACTATGTTGCTGAAAAGTATGGAGTGAATGGTTTGTAGCCAAATTCTTTTGTCTAAAACAAAGCCACATTCATTTTAAAACCATAAACCAAGCTGTAATGCATCAATCATCATTACTAAACGTGTTGTTCTCAATGTATTTTCAGTGTGCACGTTGTCTTGAATACTAGGTTCAATGATTTCAGGCAAGCCCTACGAAAGACAATTTACTTACTTTGATCTTATTCTTTTCCATGATCACATAATTAGATGGGTGAGGCTTTCTGCAGAAATCAAGCTTTTGCCTGGCTGACAAACATTTTCAATGCAACAAAAACTATGTTGCTGAAAAGTATGGAGTGAATGGTTTGTAGCCAAATTCTTTTGTCTAAAACAAAGCCACATTCATTTTAAAACCATAAACCAAGCTGTAATGCATCAATAATCATTACTAAACGTGTTGTTCTCAATGTATTTTCAGTGTGCACGTTGTCTTGAATACTAGGTTCAATGATTTCAGGCAAGCCCTACGAAAGACAATTTACTTACTTTGATCTTATTCTTTTCCATAATCACATAATTAGATGGGTGAGGCTTTCTGCAGAAATCAAGTGCGCAATTTTGTTTTGCCAAGCGAAGCATCCTTCACATGAAACAGTGGATCTCAGATTGTATCAGGTGGTGAACAAACTGGATTAAACTGATACCCACACAGATCTACAAAGACTTAAAAAGCAATATCACACAAGCAGGAGCACTGTTGTACTAAATATAAAAGAAAACATTGAATAATATTGAATAACTTACATTTCCGACAGATTATGGACAGCTGTTTTTTTTTATTTTTGCCTGACTAACAAATATACTTTGATTATAATGTTGCAAAGCATGAAACCGATTCAATTCCAGTGTTTTAGCATTGCATTTTTGAATCTGAAATACAGTATGTTTTTTTTTCAGTTTTCATTAAAATCAAAATGAATGCTGCATGAAATCCGCTTATGAGTTTCATATCCGGTTGAAGATAGATCCTCGCTCTCAAGCGTCTGCTTATCAGGTTTAAGGTTTTTTTGGTTTGTTTTTTTAGCTTTAGTTATGAGATTTTTGATCATTTGCTGGTGCACTCTGTGTGAACTCTGTATCTTATCATGGATCTTATTCTTTTCCATGATCACATAATTAGATGGGTGAGGCTTTCTGCAGAAATCAAGCGCGCAATTTTGTTTTGCCAAGCGAAGCATCCTTCACATGAAACAGTGGATCTCAGATTGTATCAGGTGGTGAACAAACTGGATTAAACTGATACCCACACAGATCTACAAAGACTTAAAAAGCAATATCACACAAGCAGGAGCACTGTTGTACTAAATATAAAAGAAAACATTGAATAATATTGAATAACTTACATTTCCGACAGATTATGGACAGCGGGTTTTTTTATTTTTGCCTGGGTAACAAATATACTTTGATTATAATGTTGCAAAGCATGAAACCGATTCAATTCCGGTGTTTTAGCATTGCATTTTTGAATCTGAAATACAGTATGTTTTTTTTTCAGTTTTCATTAAAATCAAAATGAATGCTGCATGAAATCCGCTTATGAGTTTCATATCCGGTTGAAGATAGATCCTCGCTCTCAAGCGTCTGCTTATCAGGTTTAAGGTTTTTTTGGTTTGTTTTTTTAGCTTTAGTTATGAGATTTTTGATCATTTGCTGGTGCACTCTGTGTGAACTCTGTATCTTATCATGGACAGGCTGTAAATACATCTTTTATTTGAGTTCCCAGAGTTTGTATTCTCAACTAGTGGAACATGAGATTGTTTGCCTCTTGTTTGATGGAAAATCTTGGCCAGGCACTTTTCCAGAGTGTATTTCTTGGTTTGTGTGTAAGTGAAAGACTGTGTAGTTTTCTATTTTAATCCTGAGGAGAATATTAGAGAAGCAACCTAGTATGTCTTACCTGGACTCACATGTCCACACAAGTTTTGCTAGGGATGTGTGCCATCATTTCTTGAGTTCTTGAGTTCTCTCTTGTGAGCATAAGTGTGTATTTTTAGTCCTGTTTTGTCTTGCTGTTGGCTCAGGCAGCAAATGCACCAGATGTCATATTCACACACTGAGTTACATTACATACATTTTAGAGTGTCATGCATATTCTCTGTTTATCTCAGTGTTTTATTCCTGTGTAATCAGCATACTGTATTTCTACATTTTTACATTTCGTCACCTTGGAATTATAAGGTTGTATCTGCATTCTGAGCAGTTTCGAGGTATTGAGCTTCAAAGTTTTTGCATTCCATATTGTGATATGGAATATGGGGAACAAGTCTCTTTCATACATCAGTTCCAAAATGTACACAACTTTAAAAAATCACATTTGAAAAGAATATATATATATATATATATATATATGTATATAAATTTAATACATTTATTTTCATGCGCACACATATTTACATATATGTAAATACATATAACTATAAATTTTTTAAACATGAATTACAACCATTTTAAATATTAATTAAATAAAGAGTTAACTCCGATTAAATAAAAACAGATAACTTTTATGAATGTTTTATAAATCATGTTTTATTTTTTTTTATTGTGCATTCCAAGTAATATCAATCAAACTGCAGTTGGGTTGTTTTAATTAAATAATAAAAACTCAAAAAATACAGGTAACTTACTAAATTAAAGTTCATTGAAAGTATGTTTTTTTTTTATACATTAAAAGTTTGTTTTTTAGCAAAGCAGATAACTCCAACAGTCCTTTTTTGGCAAAAGCAGATAACACTTGGTTAATCTTTGTAATTATTCCAAGTAATATCAATCAAACTGCAGTTGGGTTGTTTTAATTAAATAATAAAAACTCAAAAAATACAGGTAACTTACTAAATTAAAGTTCATTGAAAGTATGTTTTTTTTTTATACATTAAAAGTTTGTTTTTTAGCAAAGCAGATAACTCCAACAGTCCTTTTTTGGCAAAAGCAGATAACACTTGGTTAATCTTTGTAATTTCTTCAATGTAGATGCCTGACAGACTTTTTTGTTGTGATTACGCGCAATACAGGGAGCTTTTCCCTCACCACTGTAACGTGCTGCTTTAGCAAGGTTCTGTGAAAAAGTTTCAGCTTTTATTTTCCTTTTACGCCCCAAAGATATCATGGGTTCATCCCGTTCGTCAAAATTATCCATCCTCGATCACTTTTAGTCAGCTTTGACGAAACTCCTTCAGACGATTTTTGCAAATGAACTCCTCACATACATATATATATATATATATATATATGCAAAAGCTCAGAGATAAACTAAGATGCCTGCAGCTAAAGATATGGTTGGATGTGTATTCTTATGACCTCAGAGCAATGGGGTTTGAAGTGTTCCATACATTGCATATCTATACCATAACATAATGGAAATGTGCATTCAGGAAGGGTTTTGTGCTCAGTGGGTGTGCTGGAGGCACTGGCCATTCGAATCAAGTGCTGTTTGACGACGCAGCAGGTCGGACAGGGCAGAGACAGGCTATTGTTTTGTCTGCTGGTAATTTAATGCTGCTTCACTACATTACCTCATGGGCTTCACCGCATGCCTTCAGCACAAGCTTTAGCCATCCGTCAACACCCTCACACACACATGCATTTATTAGCAAAACAAATCACAAGGCTTCATTTACACATGTAAATCTAAGAAATACTGGCTTTAATCTAACATAATCAAACTATGAGGTTTA